AGATTGTTTCTAAGAACCTATTTGCTTAAGGATGCACTTTATATGAGTGCACCACTATTTATTTCCTAAACATTGCATTATTTTCCTCTTTAATTCAGAAACTTGGAGGCTCAGACATGGGTCTGATGTGTCCTTCACTTACTTCTGAGCTGCAAACAGTAATAAAAGAGGGTGGCTCGTGTACAGTACTCGATCAGCCCATTCCACTAGACCGATTGGTAGTCAAAAGTATTGATCCACTCCACGTGTCAGGTATGTGTCTATTTTCACCATTCAGCTCATCTGGTTGCCATCACCGTTTTATATTGGCCTTTTTTTGGTAGCAGGACATGAATCCAATTTAAGTCTTCATAAAGGACAAGACTGTGTTCCTAGGTGGCGTATATCATTCACTCTACAGATTAGTTATGGTGTCCAACGCTTGGATGACCCAGCTCTGCCACTTGCTAACTGTGTGACCCAAGGCAAGACACCAGTTTCGTAGGCCTCAGGTTCCTCTCGGTAAAACAAGGATAATGATGTCTACTTCAGTGGGTCTTTGTGAGAATTCAGTGAAACAATGCCTGTTATGCACTCAATCAATAATAGCTATTATTAATGTTGTTATATTACTGTCATCATTAGTACTATTGCTAAAGTTAATGCACTGGCAGACCACAACTTGCTATGCAAGTGTAAGATACTTTATTACAATCACTCTGGTTAGAAAGAAATATGCCAGAAGTAAATATATAAATATATGTGCATATATATACACACACACATACAGATGCATGTATACACACACACACACACACACACACACCGGAAATATATATCACTTTTAATGTTTTATTTCAAGCATTTCCTAAGTGTCCCCTAAGAGCCAGGTACTCAACAGGCTCTTGAGATACAAAAATAAATGAGAAACAGCCCTTGCCTTTGGGAAGCTCTCAGAATAATGAAAGCTCAGTAAATTTTCTGTCAAGTAAGCTCTAGGATTCTGGGAGACTTGAAAGCCATTTTGGTCTCCTCAGGGTTAGGCGGGTGGTGGCAGTGTTCAGGACGGAGCACACGGCCACTCTACTTCGAGTGGACTCAGGTAGAGGCTCCTAGACCAACCAAGGCCGGGCAGGGGGGATTGCCTTCCTGTCCCATGGGTGGAGCAGGAAAAGAGGGGACACTCCCCATTGCCCTCGATTCCCAACCGAGCAGCCAAGCCCAGAGCTACAGTGACTAGCATAGGACCAGTCTATACACAGTGTGTGAATGAACAGATGAGTGAATCAATACACAAATGGATGTTAACAACAGCAAACCCTTAAGTGGTTATAATTAGGTTACATAATTAAATGCTTTGCATTAATGACTATTAACTCGTGAATGGATGCAACGTCCACTCCCCAACAGCAGAAAGGCTTTACTAAGAGAAACCTGTATCCAGAAATACAACCTTCTGCCTCCTGTGTCTGTCCTTTCTACTTTCAGTAAGATTTGCTGAAAGGTAACAAGGTCAGGCCTTAAGACCTCTTGTATTTGATTTGACTGGGACCAATCATGGTCTACACAGGGCAAAGTCTGCATTAGCCAGAGAGCACTTTAGGAGCAAGCCCAGAAAGGGGTATGTCAGGGCTGCAGGCCTTGGCCCGGTGAGTGCACTCACCTCCAGAGTGAGCCTCCTCCCTGCTCAAGGGATGGCGAAGGGGTGTAGGTAAGGTGGAGATTCAGTACACAGGGGGCCAGACGTCACTTGTGTTTTGTGATTTGTTGGCTTAGTTTACTTTTTCATGGGGAAAAATATCATAGTAGGGGTACTCTGTGCTAGAAATTTATTCTCTCACCGCTGCAGTGACTATAGTTAAAGATTCTGGCATTATGGACTTGAGTGGCAGAAGATGCCATAAACTCCATAAGGAAGAGTGGAAGTGGTTGGGTCGAGGGCTCAATTTAGTCACGGCCCTGCCAGCTTTAAGAACTGGACTTCATGGGAAGCCTAACATCACTGGATTACCTGGGGAGATGCATCTTTTTTCTCCTCTGTTCTTTTTTATGGGGGACGAGGGGCAGCTGGCTGGTATTGGGGCCCGAACCTGTTTTGGGGCCCGAACCTGTGACCTTGGTGTTACAAGGTTGAACTTGTATTCCTTTTTCAAAAAAATAAAAACAATACCTTTTTTAAAAAACTACACTTCCACTTTTTTTATTTTCTGATTTGTGACTACCATCTCTCATTCCTTTTTCAAATATCTTCCTCATTAATCTTATTATTTTTTCTGGTCAGGTACAGTGCATGAGGCAGAATAGCTACAGAGTGGGAAAGTGCAAATGGGGACAAAAGAGCTTTGAAGTGACAAAAACCTAATTTCAAATCCTGGCTGTATCATTTATGAGCTGTGTAACCTTGGAAAAATTAATCTAAGTCTATTTCCTCATTTGCAAGTGGGAATTAGCTGACTTATCTTACACGGTTGCTGCGTGATTTAAACAATACTAAACGGAGAAAAAACATAGTGTGGTGCTCTGTACGTAGTAAATGCTTTTAAAATGGTGTCAATTATTATATTAGAATGGCAGGGGGGAAAAGAGCTATTGCTGCCCATATGTTATCTCCTTATTGTATTTTACAGGCCTAGCCATTCCAGGGTCTTTTGCTTGTAAAGTCCCTTTTAACCATATTACAAACCACACAGATGAGAAATGCTTTAAATAACTGAGAACTAGTTACTATTTTTGAGGAAAATGGATTCCAAAAGCTAGCCAAGAACAACAACCTGATCTTTAAAGCCTCACTTGCTACAGGGGATTTATAAGAATAAAAATCAGGAAGTAAAATAAACACACCCAGATCTTTTTTCCAGAAAATCATTTTAATAGGTTCCTCTTATCCCAGAGAAGCTGGACAGAATTTCGTGACCTAACCTTAGCAGACTTTATATGTTGTAGTAGAATTTGGAATTATGAGGTTTAGACTGTTACAGGTACTGTGTGATATTGGAATAGTTCTTGCAGTGAAGAAAATAAAAGTCTTTCATTTACTTAGATTCTGAAATGAAGCCCAGCCTGCCTCAGATAAGCCAGAGTTAAACTCCCAAACTTCAATAAATAAAAATAATGACAGGGAAAGGAATCAGCTTAATGATCAGCTAGAAATAAAGGTCACTTGCTCTATTTCTCTCCTTGAAGTACCTGATACGACCAGGAGACATGATATAACCAGAAGATGGTATGACATGATGTGACCCGGAGATATGACCAGCTTGGTTTGTTTTTTGTTCATTCTTTTATTTCTAAACATTAATTGACTGTAGAAAGCATGTATAAGGTGCTGTGCTGTATTAATAATTCAAGGGAGGATTTTTTTAAAGATTTTTTTTTTCTCGATTAGAAAAAGGAATCTGATCTCCCAGTGTCTCCTGGCATTTCTTTGAGAGCAGCTAGGAAATGACAGAACAGACTGTTTTCTTTTGCAAACACAGAAACCATGCCAAAGTTTGTTTTGTTTTGTTTCACATTTCATATTATTTGATGGCTGTTGCATTTTATTTTAGTCCATTTTTTGGCTTTTCTTGGCCTATTGTGAAGCATTCAGGTGGTTTTGTATTTTTGCCACGTTAATTTGTTTATAAACCTTATTTTGATGTGACTTCCATTTAAATACAAAAATAAATATTTTTAAAAAGTGATGGGGGACAAAAAAGAAAATAATTACATTGTTTTCACACATGCACACAAAACCCGCCTAATATGCTTAGCTTGTTGCACGAGGAAGAGCCCATTTTCCATCATTTAAGCTATAATTGCATTTCATGAAGTCCCAGAAGTTGTTAATTAGGAAGAAAGGGTTTTCATATTAAAGTGGGGTCTATTTGGACATAGTAGTAGAGTCTTGGCCTTGGAATCAGATTTTTTTTTTTCATAATCTACATAAACCTCACATGCTCATTAAGACAAAAACAAATGAAAATAAAAAACAAACTCCAGATTCTTGTACTAAGGAACTGTTTGGATTTCATATTAAATGATTTGGCTTTTTGTCTTTGTAATATCTTTTTCTAGTCTTTGGGCTGAGAAATGCTTTTCTTATACAACATGAAAACAGATACCGACAGTGTATAGCAGCATTTTTATTACAAGCCCAGACGGAAAACATCAAAGTATGTATTTTAATATTGTAGGTCTTTGATTCTTCAGAGTTTGGAAAAATCTCACCCCAAGCCTCTTAAGTAGTGGGGAATGGAAAGTTCTGTATATTCCCCTCACCCGCTCTGAGAAAGGCATTAGTTGGGAGGAGGGGAGGGGGAGACATCTAGCTGATCTCACGCTCAGAAACCTCGGGGTTGACAATTCCCTCACATTGGCAGAGCTGACACACTCTCTTGCTTCCTCCTGCCACAGAAGCTCCAAGTTCTGCAGTTTGTGTAGGAAATGGGGGAAGAATTGCTTTGGATTGCATGATTCGCTTTTAAGATGCTCCAGTCAATTTCCCGAATGCCAACAATGTGACACAGCTTAAGTGAGGGTCTGCTGCATAAGGAGCCAGGCCAAGTTTGCTCTTCAGCCTGTGAAAACGTGCCACTGTTTTTACAGCTACACAGTTGAAAGAGCAGCTTCCTGACTCTGGTTTTGCTACCTGAGAAGTCTCTATTTTGTCTTCCCCTGGTAGACTTTCATTATAACAACAATATGGCCAGACAATAAATGAAATATTGCATTCTTCTTAAGAACTCAATTTGCTGGGTCACCTCCTTCAGAGACTGTTTTTTCAAATTATACCACTAGTTTTGAACTTCTGTTTCCACACAAAATAGAAATTCAAGAAATTCAACTTTTAAACTATATTTTCAGAACTTATTTTTCTAATTATTAGTCTATCATGGTTCTTTGATAACTCATGACTCTTTATCCAACTTGCATACTATACTCATTTAATCCATTTGCATTTTCCTATATTACATATTTACATTAGATGTAAGAAAGAAAATGGGAAACATATGCACATGCTTCATTAGTCTTCAGTTTTAAAGAGCACGTCAATAAATATAATGGAAAATATTAATTCAAGTATGTGAAAAATTGTCAGCTTAACATTCTAATCTCTCTCCATTTATGTATATATATTTTTTTCTTTTTTCAACAGAAAACATGGATGGCACAAATAACATCAGCAATCTCTTGCTTTACCAAGAGTCAGGAAAGTAAGAAAATATCTTTATTCACACTTCCTGCAGAATCCTCTGAAATTTAGGGACCTAAAACAAATGGCACATGTTTTTAGAGATTATGGTTTAAGGTATTCTTTCATTCAAACTTTTGTAACACTTACCTAGTGATGAACTAAAAGGAAATGTGCATTTTAAAGGAGCTCCAGAATTTGAGCTAGGAAAATCCTCAGTATAGAGGAACTATGACTGCGACAAATTTGAATTTCTTGACAAATATATACTGATATCCAGACTACCTTCTAATGTTTCAGTCAGGTTTGTAAGAGGTACAAATGAAGAACGGGCTGTTATTATTTGAAAAGTGTGAATGATCAGATAGAGTGTCAGAAGGAAAACAACGTCCACTGCTTGTGTTCGGTATGATTTCTAGCATCTTACTTTGTGTATATCTATAAAATAATGAAACCAATTTTCCTGTACGACTTGTAAATCAGTCTTTATAGTCCTACCTCAACACAATAATTCTTTTGATACAAAATTTGATTGCTCTTTTAATATATTAAACAATAAATAAGATCTCCTTCTTTTCCCCCGCCGGCTGGCTGATATGGGGATCTGAACCCATGCTTGGTGTTACAAGGCTGTGCTCTAACTAACTGAGCTAACAGGCCAGCCCCAAAGATCTACATTTCAATAAGTTTTTAAATTCCTATTCTACAACAGTTTATTTATCTCAGGTATGCGCTATAATATTCTAACTTGGAAGTAGAAAACCCCAAAGGCTTAATTTTATTATTTTAAGGGGAAAAAACCCCCAAATACCTGTTCCACTTTCACCAGTTAACACTTTTACGTGGAAAATTTTCATAGAAATAGCCAAGATATCTTTTTCTTAACTTCATTTTGAAAAATGATGGTGTTTGTTATAAAACTACTTTCTGGTTTTGAGCAGTATGTGTGTGTGTTAGCACAGTACAGTCATGTATTTTTATCTGGCAGGACTTAAAACTTCATTAGAATTTTTATCAAGAAAGGTAGCTCGAAGTATTACATTAACATGGCAAGATATAATATTAACTGCAATTAAAGAACTAATTCTTAGGGTCACATTATATCAAATGGAAGTACACAAACTTCAGTTTCACACATGGTAGCTTTTGCAATTTCAAAAAGGGAAGATGTAAATTTATCAAATTTGGCTGCAAGACAACTGTAACCTTAACTGATTTCTTTAAGTTGAAGAATGGGATAGAGAGGAAGACGTTTTGGGAAGCCATGTGCACAGTAATTCTTTGAGGAAGAATTTCACCATGAGAACAAGGCAGTACAGACAAGTGCAGAAGGCTCTTGTGCAAGGGCTGAACACAACTATAATGAAGAGTAATAGTCTCTTTACAGTAATGCCAGGCATTTATAAGGAGCAGGTGAAAATAAAAGGAAAATCTGGAAAGCAATAACTAGTGTTAATAGCTAAGAATAAATGAGGAAAAAGGACAAAGAAGGGAGAATAGTCTTCAAATGAGCTCTTAGATATGGTATCTGGACAGGATTGTGTCCAAGAGAAGACAATATATATTTATGCAAGAGAAGATTTATGAAGAAGCTTCTGGCTTAAAAAAATGTTTTTAGAAAAAAATGAATAATCATCTTGTAGGGAGATACGAGAGTACTTCGAAAAGCTCATGGAAAAATAGAATTAAAAGATAACACGAATCTTTCCATGAACTTTTTCAAGTCCATCCTAGGAGGACAACAGTGGACTAGGACCTAAGTGACCTCTCAAGACTCCTTTAGTTCCATGAGTCCAGTAAGCACATATTCATGTGTATAAATGCCTAGTTTTCTCCCTGTGAATCTCATTAAATGGGAAGACTGACTAAATTAATATAAAGGATGCAAAACAGCTCAGGAAAATGCTATATATAAACCAGAATTCTAAAAGCTCACAAAATATTTAATATAAGATATACTAAGTGCTTGAGGATATGCACATTAGTCTTCAGACAGAAGCGCATTAGAATGAAATGGGGAAAAAAACATTCTGGAACATTGGTTCCCAGGGAAAAAAAAACAGCAAAAAACAATGGTACCTTGGGCCTTCAAAAAAGTACATGTAAATGGTTGCCTGAGTATTAAACTTAGATACACATAAAAGAAGAGATTAGTTTTATATTTTTTATATTTCTTTTTAGTTTTGTTAATTCTTCATAATATTGAATAAAATGAAAAGGAATTATCTCAAGCAAAATGTCTTAATAATTCTCTCAAGATCGGGAACTTAATTACTACTCTAAGTTGAACAATATTAAAGCATAACTACTGTCTATATCCATGTGCAAAGTCTTAATATTTTGTAAATAAATTAATGCAAAATTGTTAATACTTTGTTCTCTCTTTTTTGAATAGACAAAATAATTTATAGTCACAGAATACATCTACTAGAAAGAAATGTTTTTAATATCATCTTTAACATATTTCTTAAAAAAGCAACAATTCAATAAGGATCCTTCCATTGTTCTTTATACAGATTTAAATGCTGTCATGTAATTTATTAGTTACATTTATAATCAATAACCTTCCGATCACTGAGTTTAGAAATTACAGTATTTACTGAGCTAAACTCTCTCACAGAATAAGGCACAGCTACATGATCACAAGTAGTAAACACAATACAAATAATAAATCCAAAAACTAAATGAGAAAATATTCATGCAAAAGTATCTATAGAAGCTATGAATATATGATCCAGTTCAAGGACGTACAGAATGTTATATACATAACTGCATCATGTTACAATAAATTCATTACTTCTACACAGAAAGAACCTTAGCCATTTCCAATTCTATTTTACACAATTTTACATAAATTTAGTAATTTTATGCACAATATTCACATTTGCAACAATAACAAATTGATCATTAAAATTCAGGCAAAGGGCAATTAAGACACAATAATGCATGGCACATTATAATTACAGAATACCATTCATCAAGCTCATGTTTGGAATACTACATTGATGGCACATTTAAATCTTATGGATCAAACCATCCATGGTTTTATAGCCAAAGTGCATTTAAAAAAAAACAAAAAAACTGCTATAGTCAAACAGGTCATGAATATCAAAATATATGACCATAATTCACTCTCCACTTAAAAGCTAAACATTTTTATGCAAACTCAAGATTTAAAAAAACTGGCTTTTAAATTTTCAAAACTATATAAAATAATCATAAAGACTTATCTTAAGAGAGATGGGAAAATAACAAATTTGGCAGTTACTATTTAACATTACTGTGAGAAAACTATTAAACTAGCTAATTCCACATTAAGAGGTAGTTGAACAAAATGTTATTTGTACACTGTATTGAGGTTTTTGTGTTTGTTTCCCTTTTTTTCTTCAGAATGAACAAATCCTACGCCAGCAGCTTTGTGTCCATTCTACTAAAAAAATTCTGTAGGTATAGTTTATTGTACATTAACCCAGCGAGACTTGATTTTAACACACTTTTCTGTGCTGGGGTTTGGAATTTACCAACATGTGATGCCAATATGCTCTGCATTAGAGCCAACAGCTGGAATTCTGCATGTGCCAGCTCTAACTCACTGACAAAATAATGGTAACAGCAAACATCTAAAATGTACAGCCAATAAGGACTCAGAAAAGGACTGTTTAATTAAGAGAAAAAAACACTTTAATTTTTGTTTACAAAACACATTAAACTGGTGAGAGTTAAAAGCAAAATGTTAAGCTTCATTCATAGTATCAGTATGGTTACCTACGGTAGGTAAATTATACAAGACCTATGAAATGAGATTAGATGAAGAGGAGAAAAATCACAATTGTTTTTGTGAATATAGGAGGATGGGGGTGGAGGGGTCAGGGAGAAGGCCTGCAGTGCATCCAGTTAGGAGAAGAACTGAACAAATATTCTAATCCAGAATTGTCATAAAGTTTTATTATCTTTAAAAAAAATAAACAGTGGTGCTGTTAATATCTGTGTTTTTCCAACACATTTATTAAGTTACCTATATGTAAAAGTGTAGAATAAAGTCTATCATAAAGAATTTAAAAGTATATAAAATGCATAAATAGCTCAGTCTATATTAGCAAACTATTATTTTTAATAAAGAGCCATTGTATTTCTTCATTATATATGCTCAGGGATATATGTTTATCCAAGTACAGGGAATCAATCAGTGTCCTTAACAGCTATTGACAACAGGGTTTATTTAAATGTTTTTTTTAAATAATTAAATGAATATGTGGCAATCTCTTTCTTTAGTTTATATATGTTGTAGATACAGCATAAACATAATTTTGTTTCAGCATATTTGAAAGCAAATGTATATTATAAACTATTTATTGTAAATGAAATATTAACTCCCATCCTTCTCTGCTATTGTTATTAAATGATTGCACTGAACAAATGTATGACTTTATATTTCTTCTCTAGAATAAGTAATAAACCAATATTAATAATTTATTTTTTCAGATGTTTTCCAATCTTCCAATTGAGTAAATATGATTAATTAAAGTTTAATGCCATTGTTCAGCATACAAACAGGCTAATTCTTAATTATCCTTAAGGTGATCAGCCATTCTGTTTCAGTTTTTACTGTAACTTTGGATTCCTAAATATATTTGGTTTTGGTGATATTTTATTCTGCAGCTGTTACTTATAGGTAATTTCACAGTATTATTTTTGCAGAGTTAGAAGATTTCCCAGTTCATATGGAACCCCAAACTCAGAATCATTTTAAATTTAAGTCAATTTTACAACTTTAAAAAATTCTTCCCTATTAGGTAAGAAGAAAATAAAAAATAGAAAATGTCTTTTCACCATTTTGTATTTTGTTTTCACAGATAAGACTACAGCAATATTAGTTACTAGCTTTAAGATGCAAAATTATAAAACAATTACAGTGAAACTGAACTATGCTTGGGAAGGTTAAATCAAATAAAGGAAAAAATTAGATCCATTAAAAAAGCAAACAGAATCCTGAAGATTCTGAAGGGACAAAATAATGGTATAATATGAAGGCTAATCTTAGAAGACTTTCCAATTACAAGAAACCAAGAATA